ATAATTTAATAAATCCTGGGGCTTGTGTGAACGAGGAATTGAGACGAACTGACCAAAACACTGGTGTTGATAAACTAAAACTAACGCATTCAATTCTCATTAACAATTTTTTGGGCAAAATGACCTTTCTTCCCCATTTCGACTTCTAAGCTTTTCCAGCCATATGTCAAGGCCAAAGCTACATAATACTGGGATTATGTTACTTCCAGAGATATCTGCTACAAAAGCAGTCACCACACTTTAACTTATGCATATTTACTTTTTAATTTAGCTCAGCTGTACCGTGGCTTTCTATTTAAGACAGCATCTTAAATCTCAGTAAGTGTTTCTTTCATGAAGCATGGTATGTATTAAATAATTGCTGGAAATTAAATAAGGGAGAAACTTCAAAATCTCTTTCAAAAAGCATTTCTGGAGAATAAGGCACTTACATAAACATTCCCCAAAAGATTCCCTAGATAGACTATTCATTAGAGGCACCAAGAAACCCTGCTGACTACAAAGTCTGGCAAGAAATAGAAAAGATCCTTTTTTCATCTCAGAATCTGTCACTGAGGCCAGAGGCACACCCCAGAAGCACTGTGCCCTCTGCTCCAGCCTTTTCATGGCCACTGGTCAGCCTGTCCCTGCTCACACCTGGGATTGTGGAGGCAGTGGGTTTTATTCCTAAGGAATACAAACAATCCACTTCTAGCCATTCGTCACAGAAAACAGAAGGAGAGAGTAACGCTACTGACAGGGACATCTCTTCTACTCCCTCTTCTACCCTTCCTTCCCTCTCATCTATGTCCTCTCAGTTAAAAAGCCTTGCATGCTAGAATTTGTTCTGCCTATGTAACCCGATAATCCGCACTGAAACACCACCAGCGTTATCTGAAAGAAGCATTTCATTAACATGCAGTGATTTACAGCCGGAGAACTGGCATGGGATTCAAGCCTAACAACATGCATCCTTGATGATTTCTTCTTCATTGTTTGCTTTCTAGCAGTCATGCTGGGACTATTTACTAAACCACTGCATTGCCTCATACTACTGTGTTCTGGGACACACATCTTAGAGAAGCTGAAACATTCCCAAGTCCTCTTGGACACATACCAGAATCTTTCCTGTAAAGAATGTAGATTGGTATAGAGTATTTATTTCACAACTTGCTGTTGTAAATTGACTCATACTTTTGTAAGAGGCAAATATTTGACACCTGAAGGTGCTGGATGTTCATTCTCAGGTGCATTTCTCCCTCTTGCTTTGCTAGAGCGAGGATTGAAAAAGCACTATTTATTTATTATTACTTTTGGTGATGCTTAACATGTAGGGCTCTTGAAACAAAATCTGCAACCTCCTCTGCGGCCCTGAGGCTCTGTGCACCACATCAGAGAACGAAGCTGTGTTTTGTTGAATGCTTTAAGCCATTTTATGCTGGCAGCACCACTGAAATAAGCTGTCGTTCAGCCCCAGTGAGCCTACTGATCCTGCTCCATGCCACCCCCTCCTGGGATGGCATGCTAGTTTTTGACCACAGGATAAACTGGATCAGAGCAAAACCCAACCCAGCTGAAACACAACTTTTTCCAGGGTTAGTTTTTAAGCTGGTTCATTTCCTACTCCATATTGCCATGTGGCTGCACAAGCTCTCAGGACAGGGCAGAAATGAATGGCAGGGGTAGATATGGGGCAGCTTCTTCAGAGCCACCACCACCTGTGTGTCCTTTGTGTCTCGTTGACACCAACTTTTGAAGAACTGCAGGCTTTGGTACCTGAGCAGCGAGATCTAGAACTATCTGCGTGATAGAGCCTCCAAGGAGGACTATGAAGATGGTGAAGGGTCTGGAGGGAAAGATGTGTGAGGAGCGGCTGAGGTCCATGGGTTTGTTCAGCCCAGGTTATTCTATGATTTAATGTGTCTGTGTGCCAGTGTGTGGACAGAATGCGTGAGCAGGTCCTTCAAGAAGAACCTGAACTTTGATTTCTTGTTTCTAGATACCAACAGTCTACAGAATACACCAATTTTCAGACTCTGTAAATCTTGAGGATAAGCAGGGAAGACATCACTATGCCTCTTCTAGCCAGATTCTGAAAGTAAGCACAAAATACTCTGGATAGTGGTGGAACATGGTTCCAACAGAATATCAAAGAACCATCCAAGAGCCATTGGAACACCTCAGTGGTTGAATCTGACTTCTTAGCAGCAAATAGCTGAAAAAATCCAAACTGCCAACACTAAGATGCCACTAGACCTGCCTGGAAAACAAGGCTCCTTTGCAGCCAGGGTACCTCAAGGGTCACGTAGGCACACTGAGCAGGGCTTTCACGATCACAGTTATGATCTAAGCACTTAAATTCTACTTTCTTCTTCGGATCTATTTTAACTTAAAAAGAACCAACATACTCTCCCTCTGAAGATTATGCCATCAGATTCTTAGCAGCTACTGAACAGAAGCTGTGTCATGGTCAACTTGTTTTGGTACAAATAAAAGATAAGCTTATGGCTATAAACCCTCTTCCAGCTTAATCAGAGTATATAGATGCTATAGATGAGCCCTAATCCTACACTGCCAGAAGGATGATGGTTTTCTTTTGAAGTTTCTAGTTCACACTTCTAGGCTCATCAAGAGTTTTTCAGATTTGTAACGAATGAGTTTGGTATCAATGCAGACAGCTCGGAGAAATCCTGAGTTTTAAAGCTTCTTGTACTCTATCCTGTATTTTACTCCTTGATTTTCCCCTTTAGCTAGATTCTTCAGAGTTTTGAAGTCAATGCTTTTCCCATTAGTCTGATTCATATGTGGTTCACACTGTGAAAATCAATTAACAGATCAACTCAAAGTCAACTCCATTTTCAGTTAAGGGACTTGGTCCAATTCAGTATTTCCAATAAATTTCCTTCCCAAAACAAGCACAAACACACTGTTCAGCTCAAATCCCAAAGCAGGCCATGCGAGCAGATTGGATTTGCTGCATTCCTTGGTGTTCGGAGAAATAAGGCTCTTTCAGATCAGTGGTGACTTCCCAATATGACCATGGTTACTGGAGGACAGCCTGCCACTCTGACATTTAAATCTAAAATCTGATGTACTTAGGTCATAACATAATCACCTCCTCCTCCTTGGCTACTCCAGCTAAACCTCTCCCTTTTACTCATCTCATTAGTAACCAGCTTTGTGTTTACAAAGCAATAGTAAACATAGTTATCCATTGTCAAGGCAGAAAAATAATAATAAAAATCTCTCGAATACAAGGTCATAGTTTCATCCACCGACCTTAAAAACAGATAAGGACATTTGAAACTGTCATAATAATTACCTTATTGGTAAAACTCCCTCTGAATTCAGTGGCATAAGGTGACCGCTGTTCAAGCAGGGTGCAATCCAAAGTTCCCGTTGCACAGCCAAGGAAAGCAGCAGCTCTGAAGCCCCTGAGCTGCCTGTTCCTGCTCAGGCTCCCTCAAGTGCGTATGAAGAACCCAACCAATTTCACTGCAACGCTTCATTGCTATACAGATAATCCTGCATTGCCCTGAAAGCATCATTCCAATTTTGAAGTGACAATGCCAGCATCTATTCTTTGTCTGTTTGGTGTATTTGGAATTTCTGAGGATTAATTTTTTTTTCAACAATCAACTGACAACAGCCAACTGACTGCTCTCCATACAAAATACTTTGGCCAACGAGTACAAGTCTGGTTGCAGTTCTGAGGATAATATTTAAAAGTTAGTCAGCTTAGCCTTAAAGGAAACCTGACGTTTTTTTTCCTGAAAGCAATACGCTTTCTTCTTTTCTTGGCCTAGAACATAGACATTGCCCAAATTTTATTCATGTCTGCAACACATCTGCTATGTGTATCTAAATGGAGTCTTGAACTCAATCAGCTGTGTCCGACTGCTTGGCTACAATCTTGGATGCATTGTGTGTTCCTGAATCCAAGGGATATTAATAAAAGACACTTGTGGCATTTTTTTTCTTTCTTTTTTTTTTTTTTTTCCCACTTCCCCATGTTTAAGCATACACATTTTGTATCTTCCACCTGACAACTCCTTTCACGAGTTCAGTCTGTCCCATTGACACAGTTTGCAGAATGAAGCGAGCCACAGCAGCTCTCTCAGTACATGACTTTTCCTTTCGTTACCTACATGAAGAAGGATCTCTCAGGAAGCAAAACCTCGTACCCTCCTCTCCAAGGAAAAGCCAGTGGTTTCTTTACCTCAAACCGATCATCATGGAAATCTAAACCTTTTTTTTTTTTTTTCCCTTAAACTCTTCCCTGAGGTCTCAGAGAATGAGTGCCCACTGCCTACAACAGATAAGTCATTTCACACCAGCCCACATTTCCTGGCTTCTCTAAGTTGACTTCCACATTTGCTGAAGCTCTCCTCTTCAGTCCCTATGCTGGCACTAGCAGGTGTGGATGCAGGTCTGGGATCTGATCTGACCAAAGCTGGGGACTTTTTGAGGGGAAGAAAGGGAAATAATTGTCCAAGTGATGCTCCAGTCTGACACATCAAACTCACGATACAGCCAGCCAAGGGACTTGAAAAACACTCAAAGAGGCTTTAAACATTTACTGAATGAATTGGAGTTGGCTAGAGACCATAAATCCCTTGTTGCCCAGTTCTGTGAGTCAGCCATTCATAATTTTTATGCTTATGGAAATTAATATACTGAGGGGTTTATAAAGCAACCGTGCTCCTGCAGCGAGATGAAGCCTTCAGCTTGCTGAGGGAAGGCTCTGGCTCATTCCTTGGACCCAGGATGTGGCTGCTGCCCTCCTCTTGATTTCCAGAGCTTTCATTTTTCCAGAAGTTGTTTTTAAGGCTGCTGCATCCATCCCTCAGCAGAGGGTTATTTCTGTCCCTGGATGTTTACACCTTTTGCCTGGTAACCCAATCTTTATAAATCACACGCATGCTTCCAGGGAAGGTGGTTGGGAATAAACAGCTAAAAACACACGTTCAGCAGAATTATGTCACAGTTTGTGGCCGCCCGGCCCTCACACGTCCCAGCCCTGCCCTGCCTGTGCCCGCGGGGCCGGCCCTCCCGGCGGGCGGGGAGGAGGAGGAGGAGGAGGAGGAGGAAGGTGCCGCCTTCCTCCACGTCATTTCGAGGAAGAGGACAACCCTCGGGGCCGGACAGGCGGCAGGAAAGAGAAAGCGAAAAGCAGAGGGACAGGGACAGGGAAAAAGACAGGGACGGAGGAGGCGCGGGGGGCTCGGCGCTGCGCGGGACCCGGCTCCCCTCAGGTACCCGCGGCCGCCCCACAGCGCCGGGGCCCGGCTGCCGCCGAGCTCCGTCCCTCGGTGGGCCGGGGAGGAAGGCAAACCCCGGCCTCAGGGCTGGGCTGCCCCTTGTTCTCCTTCTCCTTGAGCTCCAGGGGAGGTTGGTGAGGCTGGCTGCCGGGGGGGGAACCCCCCAGAGGCGTGGGGTTGCGCCTCAGTTACCTCACTTTACTTCATCCGACCCTAACCTGAGGGTTACGCCTCGGTAAATGTTGGTTTTGTAGCACAGAGCAGACTGGGATACTTGGTGGCTAAACGAAGGTGGCCTCAGCTTCCAGCCTCCAGCAGGTGCTGTGGTGTTACACAAGCACTGGGCGCAGGATTTGGGGTTATGAGCGCTAAGCGGGGTCAGGGCGCTGGTGCCCACCCGCACTGGCATTTCTGGGATGTTGTGAGCACCGTCAGCACCCGTGGTGCAAAGTCCTGCTGCTTCCCTGGCCTAGGTTTGCTTGAGAACTGGTGTGCCTTCACGTCTATCTATCTGCAGATAAATGGCCTGTGATCGTCTCTAAATTCCTTCTCATCTGCCCCCACGAAATCTTGTGGCAACAGGTTCCAGGTGTTACACTACCAGCTCTGAAAAAAAAAAAAAAATAAAGAAAAAAGGGTATTTTCATGTGCTTTAAGCAGATTTAAGTGTTACACCCCGTAATCACAGAGCATGCGTAATGTTATATGTTTTAGTAACACCATATGGAGCAGAAAGGTAACACAAGTTTCAGTCCTGAAACTTAAGTTGTGCGATATAGAATTCTTCATGTACATCTCTGGTTTCTAGGTGTAGTGAGGAAGGAGGCTTCAGATACCCAATATATATAATTTTTTCTTATTTTTTTTTTTAATTTATTTAAATGTTGTATCATTTTATCCCAGCAGAGCTTACGGTATTTCATTCTGGACTATTTGCTACAAAAGAGCCAATATATACAATTCTTGTAATTGTTTTTTCTGTTCCCTCAGGTTTCAATGGATTTATCACTGCTGTCTTTAAAAGATGACGGTTTTGTAAGTATTTCCTGATGTGTTACCTGGTAAAGTCTGTATTTGATAATAGGATCTCTGAACGGAGATTTGTGCCTGGACTGCTAAGACAGTGCTTCTTAAACTTCTTGTCTCACCTTCTTCCATCCTTTAATACTTTGGACATTCCTCGTCCTCTCCATCCCCACTTTAATAACATCTGAAATTCCAGATGTCAGTGCCCAATATAAATCTTTCCGCAAACCTCATACCTCAGGGCTTCCCTTTCTCTTTCTTTCCTAACTGGCTCTTGTCTCCATAGGGAGAGTCCCATTCCAAAGTGTCTGCATTACAGACTGTTAGAATTTCCTTGTCCTGCCTCGTCTGCTCATCTTTTTCCATGGAGGTTTCTTAGGGGAATTTCCTTTTTCCTGGTGCCTCACTTGATCCAGTTCTTGCAGCATGGCAAGTGGTTTGGATGGGACTTTCCCTTGGATTTCTTGTGTTCTCTTGGTATTTTTTTCTTTCTTTGAGGTTGAAAACTGTTGCAGTTGAGCATTTTCCATAACAAAGCATTTTCCATAACAAACAGGCACCCTTTCGTATCATCTTACAGCTGTTGAACGTGCATCATTCTGCAATCCTGCACTCAGTCCCTTGAGAGAAGGAATTTTTTTCCGGTTCTAAGTTATACGCAGATGGGGATTTCCCTGTTGCTTAATAGGCATTTGAAACTGGACAAAGTTGTGGAAAAAAAAATATCTTATGTTTTATTGCTTTTCGGGAAAAAAAAAAACAGAATTAGCAAGAGAATTAACTAGATTATCTAACAGGCCTTTTCCATGTCTAAATTTCATGGTTCACATTCAAGTTTTATGTAATCTTAAGTAAAAGGGAGGGATTGTTTCAGCAGGTCTCTTTGGATTTTTTTTTCTTTTCTGCAGAATATTGCAGTCATAGAAACAAAACAGAACAGAGAATATGGGCTCTATCCCATTGTAATTTCCCCGTGCTTCTGAACTTCTGCCCTGAAGGACTTAAAATCTAAAATTCCTCTTTTATTGCCTTTCCCACCTGATGTTACCACTCATTGTCTAACCTGCCTGAGCTTGGAAACATCCCATTTTGCATTTTTTTTTTCTCTTTAGCCTTGTATATTCTTTTCACATCTTCTTAGAGAAACTGCTGAGAAAGCTTACAGATAAACCTTTGCAGGTTTGGGGGGCTTAGCTCCTTGTGGAAGAACATACTTTTATGATTTATTAAAATATTAGCCTGTGAATATTTTCAGTTGGATAATTAGAAAATGATGAGTACTGACCAGTTGCTGTTTTCTTAGATTTTTGTCCTGTCCAGCCAATTAAAGTAGTTCACCGATTTAGACTAATTGTCTGAATGTTTTTTTTTTTTTTTTTTTTAAATAAAGTGGCATGAGGATACTAGAAAGATTTAATTAGGAAGTATAGTGGGTTTCTCAAAATGTCTGACTTGCCACTTATCTTGCCTGCACAACTGGAGAAAAACAGGACAAAAAGCATTGGACTTTCACTAATGCCCACATTGCAAACTACCGTTGCAAAATGTATTGCCCAGCTGCAAAGGGTTATTTATTTAAATCCTGAAGACTAATTTGAATTGTTTAGGGTGTCTCAGTTGTACCCTAATAGGGAAGTAAAATTCAGCATGCTTTTTCTTTTCTTTTCTCTCTAGCATCTGACAACTCCTGATCCTCCTGACACATCCAAAGATGAGATGGATAGTCTTAAACAAGAACTGGAGAAATGGAAGGCAAGTTCTATAAAGTGTATAGAATCATGGAAATTAGCTCAAAGATACTTCAAAGACCATTAGTTCACCCTTCTAAATCCAAATCAACTCTCCCCCTATCATAACCGATGTTTGTCTGACTTGCTCTCTGTTCTTTAATGGTACATACATTCTTTTGTTAATCTCAGTGGTAACTAAACTTGTACGTCTAAAAGAAATATTTATCCAAAGCATTAAAATAAATAAATAAATATAAAGGGCTTAGCTAAAGTTTTGTTTGTTCTTGTAGGGAAAAAAAAATTCTAAGAGTCTTTTTCTTTTTATCATCCAGGAAAGACTTGAAAAAGCTGAAAAATTAAAAGCTGACCTTCAAGTTTGTAAATTAAGTGCTGACGAAGAATATGTTAAACAACAGGATGAGCTGAGACAGCTAAAGGAGCTTGAACGGAACCTTCATAAAGAGGGTATTATGTCTAGGGACACCCACGAGGTATGGAGAAGGCTTACAGCTCTCAGTATTTGGGGAATTGCGAGGGAGGTTTTGGTTAGAGAAGATAAGAGTAGGATTTCCTTTCCAGTTTAAACAGCTTCACCACTTTGCAGACTGTAGGACTAGGCTATTTTACACACAGTTTTTCAATGGCAGATTAAGAACTGGTACAATAAAATAAAACTTACAGTAATGTTGGAAGAGTGAAGGCAGAACTGAGACCTGTCTTGTGTAGAAAATGAAGGGAGGCAAAACCACTCTGCTGAGATTCTCCACCAAAAGGTAAGTTTCAGTTTTGTGTGATAAAGAGAGAATTGAATGGGTTGTTTCCACTGCTTCCTCAGATCCCAGCACCTGGTAGATGTTACAGCACCCAAGGGAATAGCATTTCTTAAGTGACAGTAAGCTGGTTTCAGCCAGAAGTTGTCTGAAGATGGCTCTTCTTTCTAGAAATAATTGGTGTGTTACTTCAAAGTGCTGTGTAGTCATTGGTGCGGTAACAGGAGAAATTTCTGGGTAACAGGAGAATTTTCTGTAGGCTGTCGAGGTTGTTTCAGTGAAGTTTTGTTTGGCCTGAGAATCGCTGATGAGAAATTAAGGCTTCAATATTGCAAACTACTAGAATATAATTAGTAGGTTAAATGTAATAATTGAAAGCTGAAACAGTTTCTGCTGTCTACAGATTTTGCTGGAATATCTTCTACGTGTTTAATTTTGCATTTAATATTTTTGTGCTGTAGAAAGAACTTTTTATGCTAAACCAAGAAAACAGCAAACTGAAGAAAGAGATTGAAAAGCTCAAAGAAGACCTTGCAGAATGTAATTCAGAGCTTTCATGGGATAGTAAGGTAAGATTTGAAATACTTTGCAGTTTTTCTTTTGGAAGGGCACATTTTTATTTTGACAGTTCTAGACCATCGGGGCCAAGTTGTTCAGCAACCTTTATTGATTCCAATGTAAAATACAGCTTGAAGCTTTATTTTCCTATTTTGTCTGGCAAGATAATGGGAAGAAGGTTAAGGATATGGAAACAAGGACAAGTGTGTGAGATGCTGAAAACGTGAGAAGAATGAAGAAAAGCAGAAAATGGTTAAATGGAAGACACTGGAGTAAAAAAATCACATAGCATTGCTAATTTTCAAGTACTTGCATTTTATATTTCTTGGGTAAGAGGATGGAAGGAAAAATGTGTCCATTGGCAGTAGAGGGAACAGAAAGCAAACAGACTCCTAGATAAGATGCTGGTTTTGAAGATACGTGGCAGGAATGCCTCTATTGCTCTGGCTATTTTATCTTGACACAATATTTTTCTTCTACACAAGATTTTATTTTGAAACAGTTATGTAAATGGGGAAAAAAGAGATATCTAAAACTCCCTCAGATCTATTAAAGCAGCTTTTCCTAACTGACATTTTCATGAACATTTACATCTGTGGTAGTTATAAAATACATGGATATTTATGTCTTTATTATTATGATGGTAACATACAAGGCAGTTTATTTGCAGATTTAACATTTCTGTAGAGCAGTGATGCAAGTGGGAAAAAGTAAGTGGTACCATGAATGACTCTGATACTTGAATTTTACAGATTTCATGTACCAAAAGTATTCTAATCCTACAGATAGGAACACCTGTAGACTTCAGCTGAATTTTTGCTGCATAGGGTCAAGTCCAAGTTCAACCAAAGTTAACCAAAGGAAAAAATAAAAAACCAAACCTGAACGCATGGATAAGAATTTGAGGAATAGACATGTGCAACAAGTCAGTTAGCAGTTATACGTGTGTTACCAGCTGTGACTTCAATCTGTGTGACTGTTGAACTTGAAAAATACGTGTATATGGCAACTCAAGACTCTACTGTTCATTTTTCTGTTAGGCAATAATTACATATGTGTTTTTTCTCGATCTTGATTCTAAAATATTAGATTGAAAAAAAGATAGCAGACATGAAAGTGGAGTTCACTCACATGGAAGACACGAAGGATGATTTTCCAGATAACAATACTCGCTGTGTTTTTTCTGTAACATCAAAAATCCCATTCAAACTGAATCAAAACCAGGCACTGCTTGCTTTTGAAGATGCGGAAGGTATGATGCATGTTTTAAATGTAAAAAATTAATGTCTCTGGTGTCCTTCATTACCAAAGGGAAAAGTTTTTCCTAAATGTTTATGTAAAAATGCCTCAGCAACAGCCAAAGAAGAGTACACATGGAACTTTTCACTGTTCTGATGCCAGTCATTAGCAAAAAATTCTTCCAAGTGCTCTGCATGCGTGTTTGATAACAGCATTTCTGCTATCACCTAATACAAACAACACTTTGTGTCTGAAATTGGGAATATGTTTCTACCTCAGTTTTGTTAAGCACGATTCAATTTGTTTTGTCAGCAGAATTTGATTACTTTCTTTACTCTGGGCTGTACTTCGTTCTGACAGGAGTTACTCTGGTTAAGTCTACATGCATCAGATGCTGGGTAGATGTGAGACGATAGAGGGATGGTGCACTCTGCAAGTTGCCTGCTTGCCACCGAGATGCCTGCTGCATGGCCTGCAGTCTGCCTGGGCCTGCGTGGTGGCTAACTCAGTTATGCAAGTATATTGCAGATGTGAAGCTGGTGTCTGATTCATTTATTGCAGCTAAAATCTAACATTCCTAATAGGCATTCTCTACAGCTGACAATGATGTGGTTTTTATCCACGGATCTTTAAATAAAATACAGAAAGGCTAGTATTAATATTTGACACAGTGAGAGCATCTTTTGACAGCATCTTTTATTCTAAAGGTAGTCAACAGCTAAAATATGGTACTATAACTGGTGAGATTTAACAGACATAGACATGCCTGAAGATGTAGATAATGGGATATGGTTGCCAAACTTACTCATTTCATACTTACTGATGTAAAAAGAGCTTTTTGCTTAAGAGACTGAGGAATAGTCATGTTTTTATAACGATTAAACTAGGCTTTTTTCCACTGAAAACTTGTTATTTTCCTAAGTTGCCCAGAGACTGATAAAAATGGGTAAGCATTCTCTGCACCTGGACAGAAAAACAACAGATGTGAAAGCAGTGCCTTTTACGCTTGGAATGGGAATCAAATTTGAGGTAATTAACTAAAATATAAAACTTTAAAGATATACACTTGCAGTATGTAGAAGACTTTATGTTCAGTCTTGTGGGTGTTTTCAATCACAAAATGCACCCATTATTTTTGTTAGCTCCACATCACTATTTCTGGAAAGAAGATTGATGTTTCAGAAATACCTGAGCTATCACTTCCTGATGACTGGGTGAGAGACAAATTAGAGCTGAATTTCTACAAATCTAAAGATGGAGGAGGAGAAGTAGAAAATGTAAAATATGACAAGAAGTCTAGAACAGCTGTTATTACATTCCTCAAACCTGGAGGTATAGTATGTAATACTTTTGTTAGCTGGATGTGCAGGCTGTCTGATCTGTTTCCTTTCCCTTATGTTCTGTGTTAATTTAACCAGTGAATGCAGATAATCCTTCCCTCCTGGGAAGCTCTCCTTCCCAGAGAGTTAAGTAGATCAGGAAAAGATGTGGTTTCACACATATATCTGTAAATATTGTGTTACTTCATCACATTCTTTTTTGATCAATCATGACCTGATATACCTGATATGTAGCTCTTCAGCTTTGTTTCTGCCTTAGCTTTGTAAAAAACTTTTTTTTTTACTCTGCATTGCTAGACGCATATTGTGAAGAGAAAGTTAGGAAAATGTGTTTGATTTTTATCTCTTGTTTCATGACAATAAACTTAGAGAAGCATTCAGTTTGCCCAACTAGGCATTTTGGTTTAAGTGTATGAAATTCTAAAAAGGTTGGTGGAGCCACATCTATTTAGAGCAGCTACTTTAGATTTATTTCAGAAGCTTTTGTGGGTATTTACTAATCTTGCTTTTTTGGAAATGCCAAATGAACTTTTTTCAATTTGTATACAAAGAATCTGCAAGTGCTGTCACATATTAGTTCCTAAATCCAAATAAGGAAGATTAATCTGCTCTCTGATATGCTTACGAAATGCATTTGAGGTTATATTACTGTTATTCCTCTTTTTCTCTGTCTCCATTACAGTAGCAAATGGCTTTGTGAGAAGTACTAAATGTCCTTTCACTGTAAATGGAAGGCAGTACAGGCTTCATGTGTCTCCAAGCACCAACGTACACTTGGAAAAGCTTCAGGTAAAAAAATCTATTTCAGGCTACTCCCTAAACAGAGCAGGTATGTGGGAAACGGGAGATATGGGCAGAATTTTCAGTTCTGAGGACTGCAGAAATTTTTCTGTACGCAGTTTGTGAATCCTAATAGCAAGTGTGCATCTGCACTGTGCTGCTGTGCTGATAATCCTGTGTTTTGTAGTGCGAGAGCTATAATTTATTTTAAAAGGGCATGCATGTCTTTCTTTGATTAAATTATATCATTACTTACCATAATGTCTGTGCCAGGCAGGAGGCAGATACTGAATTGTTTGTGAAGTATGTTATTAGTAGGCACAACGTTTTTCCATGTCACAAAGCACTGTCATGTTCAGCCCTAATGAGAGGCCTTGTTGATAATCTCAGGAGAGATCCTTGTTCTATGAAACACTTGCTCATTCATTTTTTTCATTCAGTTGTTTGACCGAAATAGTAACTTCTTTTCCTTTAACACTAGTCTGCTTGCTCATGATATTATCACTGAAATTGTCTTTTACTTTGCATGAATAGATTGTAATCAAGTCAGTGCTGTGTATATAATCAGGCCTTTATAATTAAAGCATTGGCTAGAGTTTGTGCACTTAAGAGATATGACATTCTTTGCAAATGTGTGTCATGTATCAGCATTGATTTTGATGGAGTGATACAGTCTATAACCATTCGAGATCCCCCAAACCAGTGTGTGCATTAAGGAGTGTGGGACAAACCAGTTAGGGAGGCTGGGCACAATTTCTATTAAACTCAGCACTGTATGGTAAAGTTCAGAACTCTTGTTATTTTCAGTGACAGATATATAGCACATTGACCAAAATCTTAAAAGGTAATCAAAGATCCTAGCCATACCTGATAGAGAATATGTTTATTTCCAGTATCTGTCAGTTCCTTTAGATGTACTTGTGACAGCTGATGTATAATGCAACTTTCTCTTTCTGTCTTAAATAGCTCTATGCTGGGATTTCTAAGAATTCCATCCTGCTGAAAGGAATTGCAGAGACTGAAGATGATGAGGAAAGCATACAGGACATGATTGAAATTCATTTTCAAAAGCCTAGTAATGGTGGTGGAGAAACAGACAGAATCAAATATGTATCAAAAGGAGCTATATGGGTCTGCTTTGAGGAGGAGGCTTAGAATACCAAATGGAAAATGGGAGAGCAAACTCATGAAGTTCAGACTTCTTGTTTCATCTGAGATTCAGGAAGTTACACCAACACTTCTTGTAGAATTGTGCTTAAATGTTCAGAAATTTATATCTGAAAGAGGAACTGCCTGTCTTTCTGATTTAATGGCATAGACTTTGCATAGAAATTTGGTAAAATGTACTGCTTTGTGTTCCAGATGTTCCTGATTAAAGTCAAGGAAAAAGCCCTTACCAGCACATAAAACTTAATCTACGATTTGCGTTTTGGAAACCTGTGTACTTTTACTGATTGGAAAAAAAAAAAACTGCTTTTAGATGTCAAAATGCTATTACTTCCTTGATACTTCCTGTAGGATCTGATCCAACTGCTATTGAGCGTCTCATAAATTAATAGTCTGGTTTATTGTTTAATATTTGTTTCTACAATTACATTTTTGTTTCTTATTTTTCAAATTGAAAATACTACAGTAAAGACTTCACATGATTATTTAAAACAGATTTATTTGTAACAGTGCTGGATTAAAAAATCTGATGCTGAACACTGGGTCTGAGGAATTTATTTAGTTGCATGTGACTGGCCAGGCTGCCAGCTCTGTGAGGGTGTGTATCAGATGGGTCATTTGAAAAAGGCATATAGATTTTAGGAGAAATTATTTTTTCAGCATGTAAAATCCCTCTTTTGTTTCCAGTTTATCCTTTCAGCTTTTTGAAATAAAATGGAATTGCAAGGTCAGAGAAGGATTTCTTGTCCAAAGGTGGATGTTTTTATTTTTTCGTGTGATCCTTTTTATGTGCTGTCCCTTGGGGTAAAATGGTTATGGCACCAGTAATCTTTTCCAAGTATCACAGCTCTAACACAGAATCACAGCGGGGTTTGGGCTGGAAGTGACCTTAAAGCCCACCTGGTTCCAACCCCCTTCCTTGGGTGGGGACCTCTCCCAGCCCAGGCTGCCCAAACCCCATCCAGCCTGGCCTTGAGCACCACCAGGAATGGGGCAGCCTGGGCCAGGGCCTCACCTCTGAGTAAAGACTTATATCTCCTTCTTATATTTAATCTAAACCTGCTCTCTTTTGCCTTAAAGCTTTTACCACTGGTCCTATCCCTGCACTCCACCACTCTCCCCAGCTTTCCTATAGCCCCCCTGAGGTACTGGAAGGCCGCTCTAACTTCCTTCTGTAGTATTTGACATCTTAGTATGCAGAAAAAAATCACTTTAAGGGAAGCACTGCAAATATATCTCAGGTGGAATTCTGAGAGAAACTTTTAATAGACAACGAATACATACAGGATACTAAAGGACTGCTAGCACCACAGCTGACTGCATTTGCAGTTGGGAGAGATATGTGTGACTGTAGCTCCTCTTACTGTTCAGTGCATGCAAAGGCAGGGCTTGATTACCTACCTGATAATTATGATATAGGAAAAAAAAAGGAAAAAGGAATGATTTGTTTATGGGAATTATGTGCTTTTGCCTTTAACAGTCCTAAAATATTGATGAGATCAAATGCCTTAAAAAGAGAAGAGGAGGAAAAACTTGATGAAGACTGTCAGTAATTATAACCATAGCTCATGATAAATATTGAGAAAGAAGTCCTTGAAAAAGGAAAACATTTAAAATTCTCCTGTGGTCTCGCTGCGTGTGGGAGAAGTGCGAAGAAGCAGGCTTTAAGCACACAAAACCAAGATGAGATTTTAATTAACATTCTAAGGCGCTTGTTCAATTTTCTCACTGACGAATCGATAGAAAGTTTACTTTACAGCACCAGCCGTGCCACGTAAAGGCTGGAACACGGGTTTAGTGCTGAAAACAGAACATTTCGGCCATGTCGCTGCCACAGGGCACTGCCCCTCTGCGTCCCCCTGACAGGAATCCACCCTCGGCCGCCCTCAGGGGGAAGGGGCCGGCCCTCCCGGCGCCCGCCCATCGCTTTCTCTTTCGTTTCCCCGGTCCAGCACCACCGGGGACCGGGGAAGCCGCCTCTAAGGGCCACCGGGGGCCGGCGCAGCGACGGCCATGGCAAGTGGCAGCGGCGGCAGGGCCGGAGGGGCCGCCCGGGGGGGGTCGCGAAATGGCGGCGGGGCGCCCTGAGGCAGGGGCAAGGGCGCGGGGCTGGCGGCGGGTGGTAGCGCTCCGCCGGGCCCCCGGGTACGGCCGGAGGGGCTTGGGGCGGGTGGGTGCCACCGTGAGGGGTCCTGAGGTGGGGTAGGACAGCCGGGGGGGTCGTGGGGTAGCCCGGGTGCCCCCCTCAGGGTGCCGGCTTCGTGCCCATGTGGCCCCGCAGCAGGCACCTGGCGCGTACGTGCCTCAGAAGCGATTCGGCATAAATCCCACCAACCCCCCCCCCCGCTTTTTTAGTCGTGTTTTTATTTTATTTTATTTTATTTTTTTCTTGCTCCGAAGAGCCAGCTGGCAAGGTGTGGGGGCTGTCTGGCAGCTTGGAGCGGCCCCGGCTGCGTGAGGCAGGAGAAAATCCTGCAGAAAACCTCGCCAGCCCCCGAAGCGCCCTGTTTGTATTCCCTCCGTGTTGTCTCCTTAGCGCAGGAACCTGCTGTTACATTAATCGAAATAATTACCAACATAACCGAAGCGCCTAGCTCTTTATGGGGATGACTGGTAAAATCAGGCCTCCAAAGTGCCAGGAGGGCCACAATATTTTATACAGCCCGAGTCCAGAAGAAACTTTGTGAGAGAAGCCCGAAGAATGCAGACTGAGGGATTGACCTGGCATAGTGGCTCTGAATTTATCAGCAACTTGTTCCCATAAACGCTCCATGGAAACATGCAAAACTGTTTTCTTTCTTCCAAAAAAAATAAATGAACTGTTACAAAATTTCCTCAGTGTCCCACCGTTTATGGTAATTCTGCCCTATTTGCAGTGAAATAATGCTGTTTGCTATTTCTGCCTAATAAGAGTGGAAAGAAAATACGCTTGCCTTAACGAGACATAGATGCAAATCCTATTTAGGGTGGGTTTCATGTTTGCAGCGCTGGGAGGTCTGGCTCTGATGGAAATCATGTGTGTAGTAGCCACTTTACGCACTGCGAGTCTCAGATGACTGGGATTATGTTCCTCCAATTTAACAAGGTTGTCCATTGAGTAAGTGGAGGGAGATGAGTCAGAGCATAATGCTGGATCCCAGCTCTCAGGGATTTAACAAGTAAGGACTGTCTGAATCTGGCCTTGCCACTCTGAAAAGAGAATGCTTATTGAACAGTACATGCAATTAACATTTTTCATTTTCTTTCAGTCTTGAATATTAGAGCAAACAATCATACCCGTGTGACACCGGGCCTATCGTTTGGAAGCTGTTAAATTTAGTTTTAATTTTTATTGCCCTAACAAATGAGGATGCCAAGAGTGTGTAAATGACACATTTTTTCTGCACAGTAGCATAAAAGTGCCTGAGGGAGTCTGGTATTAGCTGAAATCAGAATCTGATTCAGCAGCCTTAGTTATCTATGAAACGGGCATCTTGTCTGACTAAAGTGAAGGGGAGTCACTTCAGCAGTCAGGGTGGGTGTGGGTAACCTCTACGGCAGGTCACTGGTACTCCTTGTGCTTACAGTACCCCATTTCTCTATGTGCAGGACACGGGACGAGCGGCTAAATCGGCAAGGACAGTTGTCATCTCTGGTGTTCCAGATGGCGTTCTGAAGGATGATGTCATGAGTGACATACTGGTGATTCATTTCCAAAAGTCAAAGAACAATGGTGGAGATGTGGAGGACATAATATACCCAACAAGGGAAAAAGGAGTTGCGTATGTAACTTTTGAAGATCAAGAAGGTATTGACTCTAATATGCTGTAGGAAATGTTCCCTCAGGAATTAACCCTAGAATGTTTACCCTAAACAAATAAGTATAAATTGTTTACTGGTACTAGGATTTTATGTGTCTGGGAGACTAACACTTCTCTCTTAGTCAGAGTTTTAGGATTTTATTTCTGTTCAGTGAAGTCATGACTCTGAAGAGGCTTCGTGCAAAGTGTTTATTTTGTTTGTTTTGTTTGTTTTTAGAAATAAATTTATGCCATGCATAACATGATTTTTGTAGTCAGGCCTTTGGGAATAAATCCCTGACAATTAATGTTCTAAAAAGACAGCCTTCCATCTCTCTCTCAGTACTTTTGACTGATGCATAAAATATTAGGCAAGAGTATTGAATCACCTGTGTATGTATGGGAAATTGTTAGGGAAAGCATCAAGAAAAAAACACCCACAAAGTGTTCCACCATCAGACTGGTAATAATGCATTATCTTACTGCAGAACAAACAAGCAACAAGTGGCTTTCTCTTTAGTTGTAGAGAGTGTTCTAAAGAAGAACGAGCATCGACTAGAAGACAAGAGACTGTCCAGATACTACCCTTTGAAAGTAACTCCTTACTTCACAAACGTAAGTTCATTCATTATTTATCTTGTTGTACTTCCTTTGCTATGTTAACCATTACTTAACTTTTCTCTAATTCAAAATTCTAGGTCTTCAGCTCTGTCACTTCTGTCCTCAATATGTCTGTTTTCAAAGATCAGTATGTTTTAGAAGATCTGATACAAGAACTTAAAAAGAAGAACACCGCTTTGAGCTTTGGCCCTCTGCAATCCAATGGACATATTTCTGTTCAAGGGTCATTTCCAGCAATCAAAATGCTAAGAGATTGCCTTTTACTAAAAGCAAAATCCCTTTCAGAGGACAAAAATGAAGAAAGGAAGTCCCGTCAGAGACAGAAGAAGCAGCAGCAGCAGTGCAGACTTACCACAGATACAAATAATTTTGTTCTTGATGCAGAAAGGGAAAAGCAAGTGGTTGTTCTTGACACAGATATATATCTCTATATGAAGAACGTTCTTCCCAAGAAACTCCTAGCAAATACTGATGTTGTAATTTCTGACATCACGGATGGTGATATAACTACACTATATCTTCAGAAAACTAGAAGTAGGCCCAATGCTGCACAGGTATTAGCATTCAAAGAGGAAATTGAACGTCAGTCTCTAAAACTTCACAACACTTTATGTAAAGAAAGGATATACCTTGAGGAGTACACCAGAGAAGAAAAGCAGAAATATCAATTGATGTGTGAAACTCTAAAATCCCACTACCCTTCTGTTTTGGTTATTCCTTATGATACTCACATTGATGTGATAGGAAATTCTTCTGAGGTTTTCGAATTTACAAGGGAAGTGAACAAAGAGGTTCAGAGCCTGTTTCAACACAGGTAGAAAGATAGCATTCATGTTATTCTACACATTGTGCTTCTAATAAACTGTACTGTTGCAGCCTGTGCACCTCAGTGTCACTTCAGCTTTGCCTCATTTCTCCCGTGCACGGCCTGGGCAGTCAGTAAATGAAGGTGAAGAAGCCCATTCCTCCCAAATCCTACATTAAGTTCAGAATAGGTAACAAATGATCTTCATATCACTGAGGCTTCTTCTGTCCAGATCTTTCACAGAATCACAGAATTGTCTAGGTTGGAAGAGACCTCAAGATCATTGAGTACAACCTCTGACCTAACACTAACAAGTCCTCCACTAAACCATATCACTAAGCTCTACATCTAAATGTCTTTTGAAGTCCTCCAGGCATGGTGACTCCACCACTTCCCTGAGCAGCCCATTCCAATGCCTAACCACCCTTTCGGTAAAGAAGTTCTTCCTAATATCCAACCAGTCCTATCCTTCCTTTCATTTCCTGCGTTCTGGGCACATGTAATGCTCATTCTGCTTGCTGTCGGGGAGTATTTGATGAGAAAAGAATTTTTAAGGATTTCTCATTTGCATAGGAAGGCAGAGATACAAAGCTGGGTGGGCCAAGCTGGTATGAAAGACTGCACTGAAGTTTAGGTATGTTTCTCTGGGTGAAGAGATGACCACTGAAAACACAAGTGGTGGCCTGCTGCTGTTGCTTTTATCTGCGGAAGAAAGTTCTCATGATTGAGATGCGTGAAGAAGGCAGAGCTTTGATACTGGAGGAGATGGAATGCTCATTAAATTTGTCATGCCATAAAAAGGACCTTAGAAGTTAGCACTACAAGTTTTTGAGAGAAGAAAATAAGTGTGTTTGTATTCATAGGAGCGATAACAGTTCTTTTCCCAGCTGTAACAGCTTCTGCAGCATCCCTTGACAGCATCTTATTTAGACATGAAAGTATATCCATAATTTCGATGTGAAAGTCTTGGGGCATTTAGACTTGAATGAAATTGTGTTTATACAATTCTTATGCCTGATGCAGGAGTAGAATAGTCTTTCAGATCCAGATCGTGAGCAGTCTTCTTTTTCTGTGCAAAACTGATCAGTCAACATCGAAACTAGTTGTAATTGAGATCAGAAACACCTTTATGCCTTATTAATACTTCCCAGTTCTGTTTTCCAGAGCAGTGTCAGAGGTTCAGGCAGTGGGGTTTCTGCCCCCTTGAGTAAGGATGGAACAATCCAATATAACCTAAATTTCAGTTTTTGTTAGGAACTGTACAAATGCACAGAGAAAATCATTTTGATAGGTCTGGATATGCATACAGCTAAAAAAAAAAAACACCCTTATGTATATTGTTTAGACTTCAAAGCTATCAGAATGATGCCTGTTTATTCCTGTGTTGTCTGTAACTTTTATTTCTAGTGTTAAATGCTTAGAGTAAAAGCTGAGTGATTATTACAGAATTCTGTCTCATTCACTGAAATTAGGGATCAAGCCAGTCCATAGGAATGTGACAGTTTAGTGTCTTTTTTTTTTTGTTAAACTTTTAAAATATTAGACCCATTATAAGGGTCCATCCTAATTTTATTTTATTTTTTTGTAAAACCAGTTTAGAACAAATGTTTATTTTGTGAAATCAGAGTGTTCAGAAATACTTTGTCAAAACATAGAGCGTTGGCTGTTTTGTCTTACATGCAGAGTTTTATGAAATTAAATTATGAACTCAATAAAGAAACGAGATATTCAAAACATTGTGTCCGTGTTCTTTAAACCAACCCCCAGACGTTTAGTTGGAAGCCCGACATGCTTAAGGAATTTTCTTGTCATGACTGATTATCCACTGCAATTATGCTAATGAAAGATAAAGTTGTTAAAATAGTGCCGGCGCCGTGTTTTAAAATACACTGTCAAAGTGGGAAAATGGTGAGTTTAAGCACTTCCATCTCTTCCAAGTTCCTCTGGAGCCAGTAGCACCCCCAGGGGGCTCCTGGGGGGGCTGGAGATGGGTACCCAGGGTCAGGCCCTGGAAAAGTTTCTCCTCTACTCCCCACTGACAGCTCACCAACACTCGGCGGTTTTGGGTACTACCTACACTGCCTAAACAAGGATAGGGAGTTTTTCAGCCTTGGAAAAGAGAAAATCCTTTAAGAAGGATAATCTTTTAATGAAATTAGCGCTCTTTCTGCTTTGGTCTTCCATTCTATTTTCTGAAGATCCTCAAGGTTGTTTATTTATTTATTTTTTTTCTGGTTCATAGCATTAATATTTCCTAGGCACTTCCAACAATGCTTACAGCTGGTAAACCAGAGATGCCGACATCCCTTTGAATACTGGCAGGTCAGTAGTGGCTGAGCAACACCAATTTTTGAGTCTGACTTTTGACAACAGCACTGGTAAGGTACCGCTTGCTTTTTGTTGTCTGGGTTTTAGGTCAAACCCTGAAAATCTTGTGAAGGTTGCAGCTAAATAAAATGATCTTGCTGAATCCTGGTTCAGCTGTAGTAGCTCCTCTTCAGATTTGCTCCTACTTCATCCCCTTGCCACCTGAGTGCTGGGGCCATCATGTACCCTGCCAGCCAGCTCCACCTCAGTGCTCCTGGTGTCTCCATCCGCTGTCTCTGGTCCCATACCAGGATGTCAGCTCTTTAGAGAAGATGAAATTTGCATTTGCTGTTTTGGAACTATGGTAAATAGTAAAATGGGATGTTAGTCCATTGTGGATTAGTAAATATTGTCTATTGTTATGCTCCTTGATTTCTGGGGCTACTTTTTCAGGGGGGTTTTGCAGAAGCACTGGCTGGGAACACACCACCTTTGTCATCTTTGATGGTTCTTTGTAGCTCAGCAAGGGCAGGGCACAGAGCAGGTGTCCTACCGCAGGATATTTGCTGCTGATAGCAAAGAGGCTGTGGCATGGACAGGCTGTGACTGCCTGAGCTGCTATTTTAGATTTAACCCCAGAGAAACCTGCTTTTTTTAGCAGGAAAAAAATGTCAGCTGTGGTCCACCAGGATATACCAGTGTTTGCTGTGAGATATGTCGATCTGCTCGAGGGTAGGAAGGCTCTGCAGGAGGATCTGGATAGGCTGCACCGATGGGCTGAGGTCAACTGTATGAAGTTCAACAAGGCCAAGTGCCGGGTCCTGCACCTGGGGCGCAATAACCCCAAGCAGAGCTACAGGCTGGGAGATGAGTGGTTGGAGAGCTGCCAGGCAGAGAAGGACCTGGGAGTGATGGTGGACAGTCGGCTGAATATGAGCCAGCAGTGTGCTCAGGTGGCCAAGAAGGCCAACGGCATCCTGGCTTGTATCAGAAACACTGTGACCAGCAGGGCTAGGGAGGTGATCGTCCCCCTGTACTCGGCTCTGGTGAGGCCGCACCTCGAGTACTGTGTTCAGTTTTGGGCCCCTCGCTACAAGAAGGACATCGAGGTGCTTGAGCGGGTCCAAAGAAGGGCGACGAAGCTGGTGAGGGGCCTGGAGAGCAAGTCCTATGAGGAGCGGCTGAAGGAGCTGGGCTTGTTCAGCCTAGAGAAGAGGAGGCTCAGGGGTGACCTTATTGCTATGTATAAGTACATTAAAGGAGGCTGTAGAGAGGTGGGGGTTGGCCTGTTCTCCCATGTGCCTGGTGACAGGACGAGGGGGAATGGGCTAAAGTTACGCCAGGGGAGTTTTAGGTTAGATGTTAGGAAGAATTTCTTTACTGAAAGGGTTGTGAGGCACTGGAACGGGCTGCCCAGGGAGGTGGTGGAGTCACCATCCCTGGAAGTCTTCAAAAGACGTTTAGATGTAGAGCTTAGGGATATGGTTTAGTGGGGACTGTTAGTGTTAGGTTAGAGGTTGGACTCGATGATCTTGAGGTCTCTTCCAACCTAGAAATTCTGTGATTCTGTGATATAAACAGCGTTTCAGCAGAATAACATTATACGTGGGATATGCATTTCTTCCTTCCTTCATGATGCAGATACCAGGGAAAACAATAGATGTTTAGCAAGAAAAGAGAGTCTGATTTTGTCCTTACCATGAATACATAAACAGATACAACAAAACAGGTCGGTGTTAGGTCTGGTAAAAGACTTGCTGGATCTCATTCTCACAGCCACTTCTTACGGGAAGCAAAGCACTGTTATAGCTATTAAACTCCTCTTGACAAAGGCATTTGATATTTGTGTGTATTGGAAAATATCCGGCAAAGCATATTAGATGTAATTCCTAGATCTAAATGCTTGGTGCTGACTCAGTATTCTCAGCATCAGATTTACACTGATAATAGCAAATTCGCTCATGGGACCTCAACAAAATATTTGTTCTTATTGCCGTGCCAACGCTTGCTGCCCTTTGCCAGATGGGGACACGTAACAGGTCACACAGTAAAAATACAGTGCCTGATTTTGACTTAAGGCATAACTCCCACTGACAAAGCCTTCAAAAATAAAATAAATAAAATAAAAAATCAGCCAGGAACACCAGCAGAATCAGGGCCCAGTTCCTGGCAGGGCAGCACCCCCCTATGGTCAGTGGACACCTTATTCTGTTGTCTGAAAACCTTAAGGTTTGAGAGAGAATTTGACATCCCTTAGCAAGAAGATATTATACAATTTGGAGGAGAAAGCAATCTCATTTTTGACCGGAGGGGATGGGGGAGGTGGATGGAAGAATGATTTAGTGAGTGCTTTTGCTATCACTGACACAAAGCATTGCCCTGGTGTGGCAGAGGGAGGACAAAGCCTCCTTTGCTCCCCGTTGTACCTGTGCAGTGTGAAAGATGCATGCAAAACGTACGGGAAGGGGGTTGTTACAGGAGGAAAAAAGCCTTTCTAGCAGGTATAATCGTTGTCATCCGAACTGCCTCTGCAATGTTTGAGTTGCATTGAAACTTCCTCGATGCATTCGTTAAAAAAAGCACATACTACAAAAGACCTGTCATGTCTCCTGAAAGGCTGCAGTGCCAAAAAGACACTTTCTTAAGGAAGAAGTGCCTGCCACTTTTGAGATCCATGTGTCTTATTAAAAAAAAATAAAAAATAAAATAAAAAATAAAATCCAAGATGATATATAGGAAAAAATAAATAGTGTTGCTAGCAAATCACTGGCTCTTTAAGACAATTATCAGACTTGAACATCTTCATCTGGCCACACTGGA